ACAGACCAAGTTCAGATTACGAGACCGCACCTATACGGGATCATATGAAGCTAGGTTCCACCGCAAACGTAACGGGGTGGCCATTCTTATCAGTAACAGCCAGGGCTCGAGTCCTGCAGGAACGCATGGGAACGGCGTTCCTGCACTTTTTCCAAAGCAGGAACGCCGTTCCCGTTACCTGTCCTGCAGGACCGGCCCTGCTACCTGCACAGAGGGGCCAGCACACGCTGTGTTCCTTCTCCAGCTATAACTCTCGCGAGACCCGCGGCTGTTACCATGGCAACGCTCCGCACAGGCGAGTTTCGCGAGAGTTAGAGCTGGAGAGGGAACACAGCGTGTGATGGCTCCTGTGTGCAGCGGCTGGTTCCCTCCACCGGACCACCAGGCGATCTCCCCCCTCCCTGACAAGGTAAGAAGCAGGGAGGGGGGAATAAAATAAAAATTATACATAAAGTAAAAAAAAATGCTTCCCCCCCCACACATCATCCAGCACACACACACCCATCATCCAGCACTCACACACATCATCCAGCACACACACACCCATCATCCAGCACACACACACCCATCATCCAGCACTCACACACACCCATCATCCAGCACTCACACACACACATTATCCAGCACTCACACACCCATCATCCAGCACTCACACACCCACCCATCATCCAGCACTCACACTCACACACCCATCATCCAGCACTCACACACCCATCATCCAGCACTCACTCACACACCCATCATCCAGCACCCACACACACATCATCCAGCACTCGAACACACATCATCCAGCACTCGAACACACATCATCCAGCACTCGAACACACATCATCCAGCACACACACACATCATCCAGCACACACACACACATCATCCAGCACTCACACACACATCATCCAGCACTCACACACACGTCATCCAGCGCGCACACGCACACACTGCATTCATTATACACACTCTTCACTCACTACAAACACACTACATTCACTATACACACTCTTCACTCACTACAAACACACTACATTCACTATACACACTCTGCATTTATTATGCACATTCTGCACTCACTACACACTACATTCACTATACACACTCTGCATTCACTACAAACACACTGCATTCAGTGTACACACTCTGCATTCACTACAAACACACTGCATTCAGTGTACACACTCTGCATTCACTACAAACACACTACATTCATTATACACACCCTGCACTGCACTATATGCATAGGAGTGTAATTTTTTTTTTTTTAAAGGGGGGGGGACGGGGGACGGCGGGAATCTTGGGTGAGTTCCCACACTTTTTTCCCCAGGACTTGACCCCTGGTAACAGCTGTCCCTTCCAGTTGACATCCCAAGAGGCTGACCCAGAGGGCAGTTACGTTATTGTGTCAGGCACCTTATGTTCACACACCATTCATCTGATAAATATTTATGCGCCGAACCAGCCGGACTCCAGTTTCTGGCACATGCTGAGGGATAAAATCTCAGCGCTGCCACATGGCATGGCTTTAATGGGGGTGATTCGAACGCGGCCCCATTCCCAGCTGCGGACAGGAGCTCAAAAGACGGAGTCACAAGGTCCCAGGGGAGAGGTAGGCAGGACCGGTTGCTCAAAGAATTTATTGTAGAAACAGGGATGATCTATGTATGGAGGGCTCCCCATGCGGGAGACAAGGACTATACATATTATTCGGCTCCTCATGGAACATACTCAAGGATAGACCTTTTCTTGGCAAACGCTACGGGCGTGTCCCGCATTGTGGGGTCACAGGTAGGTAACATATCGTAGTCGGACCACGCAGACGTCTCCATCACACTGGGCAACCTATGCGTAGCATCCCCATGGACGTGGAGATTGAATACGTCCTTATTGTGGAAACCGGAGGCGGTAGAACAGATCCGGAAAGAGATAAGAGTACTTCAACATGAACGACCCCCCCGGAGGTAAGCGCGAGTACGGTGTGGGCGGCACATAAGGCGGTTGTGCGAGGGACAATGATCAAGTTAGCCACCAGAGGGAAGAAAATGAAACATCAAAAGCTGGAGACCCTATTGGGACAACTGAGAACCCTTGAACAGAAACACCAAACAACCCCGAATGGGGAGATCTACAGGCAGTTAGAAGCAGTGAGAAGAAACATCCGTACACTGTTGTTAGACTAAACAGCCAGGTCCATGGTATGGTCAAAACGTGCATTTTTAAAAAGCAAATCAGATGGACACTCTCCTGGCCAGGACGCTTCGACCCAGACAGGAACGGTCTCATATCACGGCCATAAGACACCCAGATGGCATGACAAAATAAAAGCCGACAGACCTAGCAGAGGTCTTTGAGGAGTATTATAAACGTCTATACCATCACACACCGAAGGGGAATACTCAAGAAGAGCAAGAAGAGGAATAAATACCAAAATATCTAGACGCCTTAGGAATGACAAAATTAAATAGGGAGGTAGTGAATGGTCTGGTGGCAGAAATCACAGACAAATCATCGAAGGCCATATCGGGCCTGAAAGGTAACAAAGCATCAGGACCGGACGGATTAGATGGCACGTACTACAAGACCTTTTGGGAAGAGCTTACACCTCTCCTGGTGAGGCTTTTTGATAACCTGAGGTGGGGAGCGAGTCTAGACCCCGATATGTCCCTTGCCACGATCATGCTACTGCCTAAGCCGGGAAAGGACCCACTCCAGCCCACGAATTACAGGCCCATCTCGCTAATCAACCAAGATTTGAAGATCCTAGCGAGAATACAAGCGGATAGATTAAACCCGTTACTGAACTCACTTATACACGCAGACCAGGTAGGTTTTATCCAAGGTAGGCAATTATTTGAAAATAGCAGGAGGAATGTCGACCTGATTTGGAAGCAAAAGGCCACCGGGACGCCCACCCTGATTGTGTCTATCGACGGAGAAAAGGCCTTCGACAGGGTTAGGTGGCAATTTCTGTTCTCAGTGTTGAAGCATCTGGACTTCCTGGAGGAATACATAACTGTCATAAGGGCGATGTATCATAAGGTGAGGGCACAGGTACAGATAATGGGAGCCCCGCTGAAACCATTTAGGCTATACAACGGGACCAGACAGGGGTGCCCACTCTCCCCTATTCTCTTCGTGTTGGCGCTGGAACCCTTATTACAAGCGATATGCAAACACCCGAAGATCAGAGGAGTCAGAGTGGGAGATCTTTTGGATAGGACAAACCCATCTTTTGGATAGGACAGATCAACTCTGTTAAAATGAACATCCTTCCAAGTCGCAAAAACGCAACTGTCACCATTACAAAAATTGATAGGGGATTTCATTTTGCAGAATAAGAGGCACAGGATCTCCAGACAAATCCTGTATACACGCAAGGATAGAGGGGGGCTGGGCCTACCTAGCCTATATTTTTACTATCTTGCGGCTCGGTTGACGCAGATAGCCATGTGGCACTCCCCGCCAGGAGAAAGGAGGTGGGTGGAGATTGAGTCCAGGCCGGTAGGCTTGGATGTCGCCCAATTCACGATGTGGGTTCCTAAGGAACATAGAGCTATGAAAAAAGTGACTTGTCCGGCCATACTCAACTCGCTCCATATATGGGATGCGAATAATGCCAAGTACGGGTTGATGTCGACCCCTTCCCCTCTTACTCCACTACTTAGAAACAGGGAGTTCCAACCCCGAATGACTCCAAGGGACTTTCGAAACATAAAAAGAACCGGACTACAGCAGATCCATCAGTTATATCAAAACGGAGAGATCATTCAGTTTGGGGAAATACAACAAGGCAACCATTTAACCCCAGCAGATTTTTTTTCGATATATTCAGATACGAGATTTTGTTAGAAGACCACATATTAGAGCAGCAGCCCTGAGAAGGCTGACGTTCTTTGAGAAATTATGCACGGATGAAGTGGCACCTAAGGGAATGATCACACTTCTATATGCCCACCTTAGTGCAGAAAATAAAGAGTGGGGGAGATTGGCATACACCGAGCAATGGGAGGCAGACCTAGGGGAGGTCTTGGAAGGAATCGAGTGGCAAGAGATATGGGAAGCGAATAAAAATGCTTCCATATGTATCACACTCCAGGAGCAGACATGGAAGACTACACCTGTAAAGCTATACAAAATGCACAAACTGGACACGGATGACTGCTGGAGGGGCTGTGGAGCCCGAGGAACGTACATCCACATGTGGTGGGATTGCTCGATGATACGTTGCTTTTGGAAGGCGGTGGAGGATCTGCTGAAACAAACATTTGACAGACCCCTGAAGATGGACCTCTGGATATACTTGCTAAACAGAACAGTAGATGGGTGGACTAGGAGAGGGCAGAAACTAATACATAAAATAACTCTAAGTGCGCGCAGAGCAATAGCGACTGCATGGCTAAAACCACAGGGTCAGAGTTCTCGGGGGTGATCTCTAGGATACGAGAATGTAGAATTATGGACGGTTTGGCAGCTAGGGTAAAAGGAATGATGGTGTCTTTCCAACGAATTTGGGAACCTTGGGACAAAAGCCCAGTAGGCTCAAGCGGAGACTGACAGCGTTCAGATCAGAGAGTGGACTCGGATAGCTAAGGGAGGCCCCCCCATGGAAAATATGGCTGTAATACTGTAAGAAGGGAAGCCCTCCCTTCTCTCCTCTCTTCTCTCCCCTTCTCTCCTCTCATCTTTTCTCGACTCTATATCTTTTCTCACTCCTTTTTCCTACATTTTCTTTTTCACTTCTTATTTTGTTTCATGTTATATATTTTTCTCTTGGTTTCGAGGGAAAGTTATTTTATACCAGGCATGATCAAGCTGTCGGAGGAACTGGGAAGCCCATGAGCAGAGTTAGTTATGAGAAAAGATGGGGCCCCTTATGCCGCCCACATGCCTGAATAAAAATAAACCCTCGATGGGAGACAAATTGTGCTGGGATACAGGATGGACTTGCATTGCCTGCTCAAATTGCATTATGTTACCACTTACGATATTCATGTTGGCTTCTGCGTAAGCCCGAACGTGTCTGTGCACTTGTCACACCTATCAAGTGAAAAATAAAGAATTTTTTTTAAAAAGGAAGACCACTAACATAAGCAGAGACTGTTCGTGAAATGTATTAAAGGAACACTCCAAAAACATTGTAATGGTTATGGGGCCATGGCTGGTGCGTACACACACACACACACAAACACCCCACCTGTAAGCAGTGAAAATGTTTAACAGTTTGAATAAAAGAAAGGTTTCAGTATTGACCAGTGGCAGCTGATGACATTTCAAGTTGGTTTGGAACCACATTGGACACATGGATTTGACTCTGCGATCACTCCTGGGCGGCAGCAACGACCACAGTACACATCAGCCCCAATACATACAGTAAAAACCAAAGAAAAAGTTACCTGTGCTCTCTCCTAAATCCATATGTACGTATAAACAAATGGGGGTCATTTAGTTACTCCAATGGCCACTGGAGGGAATGCCCGCCTGCCAACGTCAAGGCAGACCCCCTCAGGTGGGTTCCAGCACTGATCTTTCACCTTGCTTCCTTGAGCTTTTGGCAAAGATATCTGTAATGAGACAGAGAGGGGTATTTTTTATATATACCCCTATATAGGAGAGAGCGCAGGTAACTTTTTCTTTGCTTTTTAATATAAATATGTCTATACCTCCAATATAGGTGAACAACCACATATATATGGTATAAACCAAATAATCAATTTTGAGGCTAAATTCAAATTACAAGTGTAATGCAGAGTTTGCCCTCAAGATGCCACCAAAGGTTTACTTTAAATGTATTTTTGTAAAATGCTATATTATAGAAAGAATATCTCTAGCAAAAATGATGTTTTTTTATATATATATATATATATATATATATATATATATATATATATATAATATACACTCACTGATCAGCGACAGCATAAAAAAAACACCTGCCTAATATAATGTAGGTCCTCCTCATGCTGCAAAAACAACTCTAATGCGTCAAGGCATGAACTCCACAAGACCTCTTAACATGGCCGGCTTTAGGCACCCTGTGCGAAAAATTTTCACAGCTCCCCCCCGCCTTTTCATCCATGTATAGTGTGTGTATAGGAGTGTAGTGATTGTAAGATGTACCTTGGATTCGATCGTCACTGTTAAATCTTCTTAATTTCTTCTTGTCTTCAGTTGATTAATCTATACGTCTTTTGTATAGTCTTGGGCCAAATTTGCTTGCAACATTAATATATGTCTATATTAATGAAAAGTACTAATACGCAATCTGACTTACGGTTTCTTCACGTTTATTCTTAGTTACTGATACATAATAAAAACAACAAAGGATGTACAGGATAATGGATGTTCAACAACAGATGGTAATTGCTGGACTCCTGAAGGGAGAGTTACATCGTTGTACAGGAAAGAGAACCAAGAGCCAAGAGAGAGACCTCGTGTCTCTTTGTTCAGTTACTATATAGAAGTGCCCATACGTCAGAGCATAACTCTAGCCATATAAGGACAAAAACCACAACTTACATTCCAGAGCTCTCAGACAAAGAAAGCCTTGTGACTTACACCATCTGTTACTTATGTCAATCCACACATCCATATATAATCAATAGAAACATAGAATATGCAATATTCTACAGTGATTGTATAGGGGATTTATTAAATTAATAATGATCTAAAAACAAATATTCATTCCTCCTTTCCTGTTGTTACCTAGTTGGGAGAGGGGCATGCTGATCTGAATCTGGTCTGCCCCTCCACTGGGTACAGACCATTGCTAACTGTCTCGCAAGCTCAGGGACTTGCAGTGTCCTGTGGTAATCTGCGGCAGCGCTATCGAGCTAGGAAGACAGCTACTTATTGTCTTCAGCCAACAGAAGTGCAGGCCAGAAGTGCCAGACTGCCTCCCCTACATTACAGAGGAGCTGACTATGTATGTCACATAATACTGTAAGTGGTTTTGCTTTGGAGCTCTGGATTATACTTATTTACCTTGACCTTTTTGGAATAAAAATTTGTAGTAATGCGCTACTTCTCCATTTATTACAGAGCTCCACAACAATAAAACTCTGTGGAGCTCTGTGACAAGATTATACACTACACAACATTACAACTCTAAGTAATGAATATTTTATATACCAGAGCTTCACTGTAATACATCTCACTGTAATATGATGTAATGTTTGTGTTGTCTGTGTATGTGATATGTGTGATGACTGTGTGTGATATGTATGCTATGTGTTGGCTGTGTGTGATATTTGTAATGGGTGTTTTAACTGTGTGTGATATACGTGTATTGGTTGTATGATATATTAGTGCTGGGTTTATTGGCTGTGTGTGATGGGTATTTAATTCAGATAAAAATATGCATTTAAGCCTATGTGTGCATGCAAGTGTATATTTTTGCAGAGTTATGTGCACACAGTCCCACAGTCAGATGCACACAGTTATAGATATACACTGTCAAATCCACCACATGCACACTGTCGCAGGCAGATAGTCACATACACAGGATCAGGCAGAAACACACAGGTACAGGCAGTAACACACACACACAGTTACAGGCAGATAAACATACTCACACACAGCCATACATACAGTCTTACACACACATACTTACAGGCAGGCACACACAGACAGCCACACACACACACACAGAGGCAGACAGCCATACACAGACAGGAAGACGTCACACACACATAAGCAGACAGCCGCAGACAGTCACACACACACACAAACAAACAGGCAGACCATCACACGTACTTACCTCTGTTCATTATGGAGGAGTGGAGGCAGTGCAGCTCCTGGAGACCGGTTGTTAGGGAAGCAGAGACTCCTTCCTGCTTCCCCTGCAGCAGTTACCCGGCTCTTTTAGCCCCTGCCGTAAATTTAGCCCCGCCGTCAGTTTAGGTCCGCCCCCACTGCAATATTGTTGGTTTTTTTTATCATCTGGGCTGGCCATGTGTGAGCTGTGTCGGCGGCATGGCGCCCCCTGCTCCCATGGTGCCGTGTGCGGCCGCACAGCTCATACACCCCTAACGCGGGCCCTGAACAGGTCGTGGTATCGGGTACCAAGACATTAACAGCAGATCATTTAAACAGGGCCGTCTATAATATAGGACCCTGGGCGAAGCATATTCTTGGACCCCCTGGATCTTGCACCCTTCCCCCTCACACACACACAATCACGTCTTCCACCCCAACACAGTGGAACGATTCAAGACATACTTAGATAGACATATACACTGACAGACATACTGACACATACACACACAGTCAGCATACACACACAGTCAGACATTCTAACACACATATATTTACTGACAGACATACTGACACATACACACACACACAATCAGACATTTTAACACACCTATATTCACTGACAGACATACTGAGACATTCACGGATACATACTGACACACACAGACCTACACTGACACACAAATATATACTGACTGTGTGTTAATGACTGAATATGTGGCAATATGTCAGTCAGTATATATTTGTGTGTCAGTGTGTGTCGGTGTGTCATTATGTCTGTATGTGGCTGTGTATTAATATGTCTGAATATGTGGCAATATGTGAGACACCTACATACATACATACATACTGACACACACAGACGTACACTGACAGACATACTGACACAGACACTGGCAGACAGACATGCTGACACAGAGACAGTCACTGAAAGACATGCTGACACACACATACACTGACAGACATACTGACACACACACAGATATTGACAGACAGATATACACACACACACAGACAAATACACTGACAGACATACACACTTACAGACATTGACAGACACATACACACACAGACACTGACAGACAGACATGCCGACACACACACTGACAGACATCCTGACTCAGACACAGACAGACATGCTGACACACACACTGACAGCCCTTAGTGAATGGGCCACCCGGTGGGCCTCTTCAGGGTGCTGTGGCCCAAGCAAGGGGGGAGGGAGGATATAGTTAAGGGCAGCGGGGCCCACTGGGCAGCTGCCTTGGACCCTGTCCCATTTGCCCCGCGTTAAAGGCACCATCGCCCTGAAGGTCTGCAACAATCTCTAGTATCATGAATACCAGCACCAAGGAAAACAAAGGCCTCCCAGCAGAACATTGCCCAGAGCGTTGCACTGACTCCACCAGCCTGCCTTTTTCTGCCATATTGCATCCTACTGCCATCTCTACTCCAGGTAAGCAATACACAGGCACAAAGCCATCCACCTAATCAAAAATAAAACATGATTCATCAGGTGATTGCACTAGATATCTCCTAGCCCGTTAAAGCCACCGTACCTTCTTAGAATCACGTAGTCCAAGATAAAGTGCACTCACTGGACTTCACTTAACCCCTTCAGGACGGAGTCAATAGTGCACGTTCTGATCAAAACAAAACGTAAACAAAAACTGGAATTTGCGCTATATGTCTGTCCAACCATAATTCACCTCTTTCATATTAAGTACACCCACACTTGTATATCATTTTGTTCAGGAGAAACAGGGCTTTAATTTATCATTAACTATTCATATATGGAACATAATTTATTATGAATAAAATTTAAAAAAAAAAAGAGAAAATAAGATTTTTTTTTTTTTTTTTAAATTTGTATTTCCGTCTGACATTTTAGCTGTGAATGTCATAATACTGTTAGGTTTTACTGCAATAAAATGCACATATTTGTAATCAGCGATGTCTCATGAGTACAACAGTACCCCCCATTAACAGGTTTTATGGTGTTTTGGAAAGTTACAAATATAGAACGTTCTATTTTCAAATTGAAATTTGCCAGATTAGTAATGTTACCTTTGAGACTGTGTGATAGCCCAGGAATGAGAATTACCCCCATGATGGCATACCATTTGAAAAAGTAGACAACCCAAGGTATTGAAAGTGGGGTATGTTTAGTCTTTTTTAGTAGCCACTTAGTCACAAACACTGGCCAAAATTAGTGTTCATATTTGTTTTTGTGTGAAAAAAAGCAAAAAACTAATATTTGGCAAGTGTTTGTGACTACCATACGCTCTCAAAGGCAACATAACCAATCTGTCAAATTTCAATGTCAAAAAACTGAAAAATGTAACCTACTATATTTGAACCTGTAACTTCCCAAACTTCCACACGTGAGACATCGTGGAATACAAATGTGTATTTTATTGCAGTAAAAGCACAGTATTATGACATTCACAGTTAAAATGTTACGTGGAACTAAAAAAATAACTATTTTCTCCCATTTATTTATATTTTATTCATATTAAATTGTTTCATAGCTAAATATTTGATGTTAATTGGAAGCCTTGTGACTCTCTAACTTTCCAAAACACCATAAAACCTGTACATGGGGGGTACTGTTATTCTCGGGAGACTTCACTAAACACAAATATTAGTGTTTTAAAACAGTAAAACATATTACAACAATAATATAGTCCATAAAAGTGCAGTTTGTTTGTAAAAAATGCAAAAAACTTCACTTTTACTTGAAATATCATTGTTGTAATACAATTTACCATTTTGAAACACTAATTTGAGCTCAGCGAAGTCTTCCGAGTAAAACTGTACCCCCTACGTACAGGTTTTATGGTGTCTTGGAGAGTTACAGGGTCAACTATAGTGCTTGCGAATTAAATTCTCTACACTTTCTCCCTGTGTTGTCAGGCATGTCAATCAAATGTTAAAGGACCACTCTAGGCACCCAGACCACTTCAGCTTAATGAAGTGGTCTGGGTGCCTGGTCCAGCTAGGGTTAACCCATTTTTTAATAAACATAGCAGTTTCAGAGAAACTATGTTTATTAATGAGTTAAGCCTTCCCCCAAAGCCTCTAGTGGCTGTCTCATTGACGGCCACTAGAGGCGCTTGCGTGCTTCTCACTGTGATTTTCACAGTGAGAGCACGCCAGCGTCCATAGGAAAGCATTGTAAATGCTTTCCTATGCGACCGGCTGAATGCGCGCGCAGCTCTTGCCGCGCGTGCGCATTCAGCCGACGGGGCGGAACGGAGGAGGAGAGAAGGAGGAGAGCTCCCCGCCCAGCGCTGGAAAAAGGTAAGTTTAAACCCTTTTCCCCTTTCCAGAGCCGGGCGGGAGGGGGACCCTGAGGGTGGGGGCACCCTCAGGGCACTATAGTGCCAGGAAAACGAGTGTTTTCCTGGCACTATAGTGGTCCTTTAATTAATCACGTAATTATGTTAAAAGATTACTTAAATATACACGTAGAATTTTAATATATATGCATTTATAGATATTTAAATTCTACGTGTATACTAATGTAATCTTTTATGTAATTATATGTATTTATCTATATATAT